ACCTCACCAACAGCGCTCGGAGAGTCTAAATTCAAGGCCTCATATCAACTCCAGTCAGTTGCACGGCGTCTCCAGACAGACGAATCATATTCCCAGCTCTACAGAGAATTCATCAACGAGTATGAGGCACTAGGACACATGCGCAAAGCACCAGAAGGAGCAGAACCCGTCACAGCATAATATCCACCGCATCAGGGGTCTGAGAGACAAGCAATCAGCACGGAACTGAGGGTCACCAGTCATAACCTCAGTTCGACTCATCATAGAACAAAAACGACAGTCATCAATAGTAATCCAAAGCAGAGATATCCTACAGAGAAAGGTCGTTATCGGCTCACCCAGGTACAAGAGAGCCCGCGCCTGAGAGCCACTCAATAAATATTCAATAATAGCTGAGATTTGCTAAGGAAACGACATCCTGAACCAAGCAATCGGCAAGTTCAAGAGAACATCAACAAGCAGACATCACCACAGATTGAGAGAATTTAAGACACTCTCACGTCTTCGGAGAACAACGAGAGAGCATTAGCGCAGCAAGTCTTCAACTCAAAACCCGGGATTGCAGGGAGCAACTGGATTCAGAGGTAAGGTATCATTTTCTCTATTTATCAATTTGGCTAATGATACCGCCCTCATCCATTGCTTCTTTCCCGAGGTACATCAACACCACCAGAGGAAATCATCAAAGAATTGATCATCCAGTTCGAGGAGCCTATCACCAAAGTGCTCGGATTGTATTGGCATCAATCGTCCGATACATTTCGATTTAAATCAAAGCAGTTTGAGTCAGCAACAGTCACCAAGAGAGTAGTAGCATCAGAAATTGCTCAACTGTTTGATCCATTGGGATTCATCGCTCCAGTAATCACCCGAGGCAAGATAATTATTCAAGATCTATGGAGACCTAAGCTCACTTGGGACGAGCCACTTCCAGACGAGTATGAAAACCAGTGGACGAGCTTCAGAGAGAACCTCCACAGGTTAGAGCAAGTCTCAGTGCCAAGGTAGCTGAGACTCTCATCGGAGATATGCAGCATGCAGACCCACGGGTTTGCAGATGCTTCAACAGCAGCAATGGGCGCAGTAGTGAACATTCGCACCAAGCAGATTAACGAGCCAGCATCGACAGTATTGCCTTGGCTTAGATCAAGAGCCACCCATCAAGATGAAAGGATTTCGTCCAAAATAGAGTCATCAAAATCCAGGAATCTCTTGCAAATGCTATTTGGAGACAAATCAGCGGTAAAGAAAACCCAGTTGACTGTGCATCCAGAGGACTCTCACCAAAGGAACTAACAGAACATCAGCTATGGTGGTCAGGTCCTGAATGGATCAATCAGGAACCTGAAAGCTGGCAATCATCACCAACCGACACTCCAGCAGAAGCATAAACAGAAGCGAGGCCATCTCTATCACATCAGTCAACCATCAAAGTCAACGCGTTGGTAGAGCTTCTCAACAGATACTCAACACTATCCAAGGTCCTCCAAGTAACAGCTACCCTGAACCGAGTACTTGACAGGTGCAGGAGACAGTCAGTTCCTCAGATGCCTGTCCTCACATCTAGAGAACTCAACAAAGCCAGGCTGTTCTGGGTAAAAATAACACAATACAATATATGCATCTGTTCATGCATCTGACTTCTTGAGAGAGACTATCAACTACCACGGAGTCATCCGTTAGCAAAGCTGACTCCAACGCTAGACAATGAGAGCATCATCAGGCTAGGTGGCCGCCTCATGAATTCTCAATTAGCCTGTGACGAAATTCATCCAATTATTCAGTCTCATCAGTCTCGTCTCACAACGATTAGTCATCGAAGAAGCTCACCGAAGAGCTCTCCACGGAGGAACTCAACTCACCCTAGCCTATACTCGCCAGAAGTATTGGATCATCGGTGGGAGAGGCACAGTGAGAGCATAAAACCTACGCTGTCCTTCCTGCATTAGGCACCGAAGAAGACAGGCCCAGCATCTAATGGGCCAACTGCCTGCTGTAAGAAGATCACCTGCACGAGTTTTTCTCCACACGGGAGCGGACTATGCCGGTCCCTTCCCCATTCTCAAATGGTGACCCACAACTGCCCAACCATCTATTGTTCATATCGCAGTATTTCTGTGTTTCAGTGCATCAGCAGTCCATTTAGAGCTCGTTTCCAGGCAAACAACAGAGGCTTTCATCGGAGCTTATAAGAAATTCACCGAAAGGAGAGGTATCCCCGAGTTTATGTACAGCAATAACGCCACTACATTCCTTGGAGCCTCAGGAGTACTCAACAAGCTATACAATCAAGAGTCCAGAGAGAATCAACAGATCCAAGCTGCCCTCACCACAAATGGGACTCAATGGAACTTCTCACCACCGAGAGCACCGCATTTCACAGGCAAGTGAGAAGCAGCTGATAAATCTACTAAGTATCACCTCAAAGGAGTACTTGGGCCGTCGACATTCACCTACGAGGAACTCAACAGTATCCTGACCCAGATAGAGGCCTGCTTAAACTCCAGATCAATCACGCCAACGCACAGCAATTATGGAATACCATCAGGTATTGTAGTTGCACAGATTGTTCACCGAGGGTTTCCCCAACGGCCGTAAGGGAACCTTCAACGAGCAGCTGATCGNTGAATTCTCAATTAGCCTGTGACGAAATTCATCCAATTATTCAGTCTCATCAGTCTCGTCTCACAACGATTAGTCATCGAAGAAGCTCACCGAAGAGCTCTCCACGGAGGAACTCAACTCACCCTAGCCTATACTCGCCAGAAGTATTGGATCATCGGTGGGAGAGGCACAGTGAGAGCATAAAACCTACGCTGTCCTTCCTGCATTAGGCACCGAAGAAGACAGGCCCAGCATCTAATGGGCCAACTGCCTGCTGTAAGAAGATCACCTGCACGAGTTTTTCTCCACACGGGAGCGGACTATGCCGGTCCCTTCCCCATTCTCAAATGGTGACCCACAACTGCCCAACCATCTATTGTTCATATCGCAGTATTTCTGTGTTTCAGTGCATCAGCAGTCCATTTAGAGCTCGTTTCCAGGCAAACAACAGAGGCTTTCATCGGAGCTTATAAGAAATTCACCGAAAGGAGAGGTATCCCCGAGTTTATGTACAGCAATAACGCCACTACATTCCTTGGAGCCTCAGGAGTACTCAACAAGCTATACAATCAAGAGTCCAGAGAGAATCAACAGATCCAAGCTGCCCTCACCACAAATGGGACTCAATGGAACTTCTCACCACCGAGAGCACCGCATTTCACAGGCAAGTGAGAAGCAGCTGATAAATCTACTAAGTATCACCTCAAAGGAGTACTTGGGCCGTCGACATTCACCTACGAGGAACTCAACAGTATCCTGACCCAGATAGAGGCCTGCTTAAACTCCAGATCAATCACGCCAACGCACAGCAATTATGGAATACCATCAGGTATTGTAGTTGCACAGATTGTTCACCGAGGGTTTCCCCAACGGCCGTAAGGGAACCTTCAACGAGCAGCTGATCGAGCATCAACAAAAGTTCCGGGACCAGGAAGTATGCAAATTCAATGCAATCAAATGCATACAAAATTAAGAGGCTATCTCTACAGATGATCAATGTTAATGTTTTGTCTGTGTCAACTGCGAGACACAGGAAACACCAGAAATCAAGAAAGCATCAGAATTTCCAGAAGCCTCTCTAGCATCCTATCTACCGCAGAACAGGCCCTGGGAGATATTATCAATCCGAGCTGTGAGTCGTATTAAATGACTCCAGCCCAAAATTATCAACAGAACATCGGCAATCAGCCCTAAATTATCAACAGTACATCAGCAATCAGCCCTGAATTATCACCAGTACATGAGTAATCAGGAGAAGAAATCTATCAAACAATCAGGAGAAGAAAACTATCGAGAAGACGATCCAGAGCGAATCAACGAGTAACCAGCAAAGTAAGCAGCGGAGAAATTCAACGCACAATTCATCATTCCTGATGATGAATGGCCCCCGGGAGGTTTGAAATTCAGCTACTCAAACTTGTCAAACGGTCACCGCGCTTAACGAAAATCTCGAGAAACTTCGGGACCCTTCGGGCTCACAGTCAGCTACGAAGAAAATCCCTGAAAAAGTCAATAGTATCGCGCTAGCCACCGAGAGAGTCACTCTAATCATAGTACTGTATCGCCGTAACCGCTCAATCGAGTACATCACCGGAGTACATCAACGCGTTACATTTGAGTCTAGCGCTTCGTACAGCGTCTCTATTTAATTCAATTCAATTATCAATTGATTCCGAGTTAACTATCAATTATTTTGAGTCAATCATGAAGTTCAATATCGAGAGAATCTCAAGTGCAGTGCATTTTGACTGGCTCTACTATATCATTATCGTGAGGATACCGAAATACAACTGATGTGACTCTTCCGGGTGCCGCGCTAACCTGTGTCCGTTGACCCGAGGGGTCGCGAAGATTTTCGGAGATGGCCGAGTTAGTTGACCGTGAACAATATGGAGATTTAAGCTGCATTTCGAACACCCCGGGGGTAATTCATCATCAGGGATGATGAATTAATGGTGATTCTAGTCCTGTTGAGCTTCTTCTGCATCATCGTCTGGAGGTTGCTCTGGAGGTGGTGGATCTGATGGCAGTAAGCAAAGCTTGGTGATTGATTTGTCAAGCTCTGTGTAGGTTGTTCTGATGTTTTGTATGATTGGTGATCCATCTGCCTGCCTTGGTACTTCTGCTTTTGCGGTTCTTATGGTTGCGACTCTCGTTAGCCCATCTGCTCCTAGGCGTGTCGCAATGACTCGTCCGATTGGCCATTGTGCTGGTGGATAATTTTCGTCTATCATCAGCACCATGTCGCCAACCTTGATGTTCTCTTCTCGATGTGTCCACTTATAGATTGCTTGATAACGTTGAAGACACTCTTTGGCCCACCTGGACCAGAATTGTTGAGTTAGCTGCATTACCAGGTTCCATCTCTGCAGTTTGCTGGGGTTCTTGTCGATTATTCATGGCTCTGGAATGAGTTGAAGAGGCTCACCTATTAGGAAGTGTCCTGGGGTGAGTACTTGGAGATCGTCTGGGTTATCTGACATGGGACAGATTGGCCTGGAATTTAGGCAGGCCTCTATCTGGATCACGACACTGTTGAGTTCCTCAAATGTGAGTGTTGTTGTCCCCAAGACTCTTCTAAGGTGATACTTTGTTGATCCCACGGCTGCTTCCCACTTGCTACCAAAATGGGGTACTCGTGGTGGTGAAAAGCTCCATTGAGCCGCATTGGTGGCGAGAGGAGACTGAACCTGCTGATTTTCTCCAGATGCTCGGTGATAGATCTTGTCTAAGACCTCTGCTGCGCCCACGAAGGTAGTGGTATTGTCACTGTACATGACTGCTGGAATACCACGTCTTCCGGTGAATCTCTTGTAGGCTCCGATGAAGGCGTCAGTTGTCTGTCTAGTGACTAGCTCTAGGTGAACTGCTGATGTGGTGAAGCACACAAAAACTGCAATGTGCACTGACCCTGGTTGTGCATTCGTTGGTCTCCATTTGAGGATGGTGAATGGTCCTGCATATTTCACCCCTGTGTGGAGAAATGCTCTTGCTGGAGAGATTCTCGTTGCTGGCAGTTGACCCATCTGTTGCTGGGCCTATCTTCCTCGGTGTCTGGTGCAGATGGCACAGCGTTGAATATACGCTCTAACTGTGCCTCTGCCACCGATTATCCAATACCTTTGACGTGTGTAGGCCAAGGTTAGTTGAGTTCCTCCGTGGAGTGTTTTGTGGTGAGCTTCTTCGATGACTAGTGTGGTGAGGCGTGACTGGCGAGGCAAGATTATTGGGTGAATTTCATCTGGATTTAGCTGGGAGTTCTTGAGGCGTCCCCCAAGTCTCATGATCCTTTCGTTGTCTAGTGTGCGTGTCAGCTTAGCTAGTTGATGATTTCTCGGTAGTTGGTGATTTTTCTGGAGTACTCGAATGGCTGGCCCAAAGTATTGATGTTGGGTTATCTTTACTCAAAATAACCTCGCGTCGTTGAGTTCTCTTGTTGTCAAGACTCTGTTGACCGTAGGTATTACGGCTAGCAATTTAGCCATCGTCTGATACCTGTTGAGTAGCTCTGCAATTTCGTTGATTTTAATTGCAACTGAATGGGCTGGTGCTGGTTTTGCTTCTCTGCCCACCTCTGAGATGTCCATGGCTGGAGCATCGATTGATGATTGTGGCCATTCTTCAGGATCCTGATTGATCCATTCAGGTGCCGACCACCACAGTTGATGATCTGCTAGCTGGCTCGGTGATATGCCTCTGGCGCCAAAATCAGCTGGATTCTTCTTCCCACTGACATGTCTCCAGATAGCATTCGGGAGAGTTTCCTGGATCTTGACGACCCTGTTGTGGACGAAGTCCTTCCATCTTGATGCGTGGCTCTTGATCCAAGCTAGTGTTACTGAAGAGTCACACCAGAGACAGGTGTTTACCTGGTCGCGTTGGAGCATTTGCTTCATTGATGCCACTAGCTGAGTCAGTAGAAGAGCCGCTGTGAGCTCTAGACGAGGGATGGTCATACGCTTGAGTGGTGCTACCTTCGTCTTCGCGCATGCCAGCACTGTTGATGTTGAGTCGTTGAGTGTTTTCGTACGAATATATACCACTGCACTCATGGCTACCGTTGAAGCGTCTGCAAATCCATAAATTTGGATGTTGAGTGTCTCTGTTGAAATTCTCAGTCAGATAGGTATAGTTACTCTGTCTAGGTCATTGAGATTCTGTCGGAATGTCTTCCAGCGTTGAACATACTCGTCTGGAAGAGGATCATCCCATTTTAATTTCAATCTCCAAAGATCTTGTAGGAGAATCTTTCCCTGGACGACAATTGGTGCAATAAATCCCAGTGGATCAAAGATCTAGGCTATTTCAGAAGAGACTACTCTCTTGGTCATTGTCGTCGTATTGAAGTCCTTTGATTTGTACCGGAATGTGTCGGTGGATTGATGCCAACCCAATTCAAGTACCTTGGTGACTGACTCCTTGAACTGGATAATTTCTTCTTCAGTTAATGGGCCCAACTCATGCAGAGCCTCCAGACAATTGCTGCTCCACTTCTGTAGAGAGAAGCCTCATGCATAGCAAAGCCCTTGTAGCTGCGTTGCGATCTCCTTGAGACCATCTTCTGTCTCTGCACCGCCATAAAGGCATCACGGCAAAATATCAGTCTCAAAATATCACACCGCCATAAAGGCATCACGGCAAAATATCAGTCTCAAAATATCACATGAAAAAATATCACATGGATAAATATCATAATATGAAAATATCATTTGTGATAAATATCACTTTTTAAAATATCATATCATATCATATCATGTAATTTTTAAATTTTCAATCATATTAATTAATTTTTTAATTTTCAATATATTCAATGATATTTCAATTGTTTTTCTTGATTTTTCGTCGCGTGTGTGAACACGGCCGTGTAATTCTTTCTTTCTCCGATAATTCATTACCACAATACGCCTATTTAATTCCATTTTCGGTATGTAAACACTGCTGGGTTTTTCCCTCTCCTTATAAATCAATATATTGATTTTCTGTTTGGGTTTAGGAGAAATTGTTTGATTTGTTTTCAATTCATGTACACTCGTAATTTTTTTTTTTAATTTGTTTATGATCATTTTGGTTTGTGATATTTTTTGAGTGTGATATTTTGATTTGTGATATTTTTTACCAGTGATATTTTGTTTCGTGATATTTTGAGGCATGATTTTTTGCCGATGATATTTTGATGTGTGATATTTTGCCGTGGAGCCGCCATAAATGTCGTCAACGTAACGATCTCTGGTGAGTGTCTCTACTGCTGCTGGGAAGCGGTGCCCTTTATCTTCTGCTAGTTGTTGAAGAACTCGTAACGACAAACATGGAGAACAATTTAGTACATAGGTGACTGTCGTTAACTGGTAGGTGACTGTTTGTTGATTCTCGTCGATACACAGGATCTCTGAAGATCCCAGTCATCTTGGTGAACTCGTATCTGGCGGAACATCTTGACAATATCCGTGCCAAACACGAGCCTGTGCCTCCTCATTAGGCAGGCCCAGAAAACATTTTTTCCGAATTTCAATTTGCAAGTTTACGGAAACGAAAGCTCATTAGTTCAAATGACTGTGTGATTTTTTTCCGATTTTTAGAACCATATTTTGAGCTTCCGCAACGATTTGGAATTTGTTATGACGTTATACACGTGAAAAAGTCAATTAAGTTTCGAATCGTGATTATATGAGTAAACTTTTCATATTTTCTTGAATACTTGGTGGGAAACTATTGACAAATAATCAAATAATATGAATAATGCTCTTTCGCAATTTCCATTCCATTTGTTAACGAATAAAAGTGGATCATTTTTGCTGAAAATGGACATTTTTGGGGGCTTCCAGAGCCCTCCGAAATCGATCCAGTCCTTTTTTAATTCCGTCAAGTGATAGTTTAACTATCTCATCGTCATTCTCCAAAAGAAGGATAATTTTCAACAGGTCCAAATTCGAGAAAAATGCAAAAGAAAATTGTTAAACTTTTAGGCTCCGACAGGTGCTGGGAGTGTCCGGTGTTTTTATGGAGGGCCATATACTGAAATGGAGAAGGTTAGTCCGCTGGCCCAGCCTTCTCTAGCACAGGTCGATTTTTTTCTTTCTCTCCGTAATAAATAACTGGTGTATTCGTTTTTCAATATTAAATTTGTCAACTTTTTTGGAATTTAACTTGACAAACAACATCGTTAAATTCCTCAATACATTACGATTTCAACGTCACTCGGTTCATTGTTATAGCTCAATTAGAAGTGGAGTTGTTTTATTGAAACTATTTTGAATGTTCATAGAGTTTAGAAAATGTATTATTACGCTGTATTTTTTTAAATCATACAAATTTAATATAAATGTGATATACATTACTTATCGCTAGAGTAACTCATAAAAATAATTGTTCATAATACTGTGGGTGCTTCAGAACGATTGGATATTTCTCGATAGTTTCTTTGCAAATAAAGGAGGGTGTTATGTTTTGCAAGTTCAAAAATCCCGAGTGCGAAGCGCGAGTGATTTCTCCTCAAATAATTTTGAAGCTCAAGTGGTAATCGGGGGCATTATTTTTTCTCTCAGGATTTTAATCAGGAGAATCGTAGGCAGAAAATTCTTCGTTGCTCTGAGCAATGGAACCGAAAAAAATTATCAAAAAATGATCGCTGTAAAACCGTGTATGTCTTATAGAAAAATATTTCACTGTTCCGAAATTTAATTTGTGCACTCCGCTGATTGAATGAAATAATTTGTCTAGCATATGTTGGAACTCGATCTCTTTCACTTGCGCTACTAAATATTTCTCCTTTCGACAATCGCTGTACCTTTGAATATTTCTATACTAATTCACTAGATTATCCACTTTCGTAATAGCATAGGACTCTTGCACGATTGGGATTCCTGCGTATTCCCAAAAAAGGGCACACTTCCGCACAATACACTTTGCGGCTTCACGGGCAGTAAGCTTCGGTGTTACATGTCTCGTGTGATAGAAAAAACACTGTAAAACCTGCCTATTGGAAGGCAAACGGTTTCCACAAATTTCCGGTGTTGCACTACCGACGAAAGTGATGTCAATGTCTTGTCGCGTTTCTGGAATTTTCGTACGTTTTTTGTTGTTAATCTTTACAGAAGAGAAAAAAATCAACGTAGCAATTATTTCGATGTGATTGGTTTGGTAGTGCATCGTCAAATGACTTTCTGTGTTCAGGAGGGATTGAGGAGAGACCCAAAATTCATAGGTATTCCAGTAAAAGGAATATTAAGTGGGCAAAAACTCCACCCCCAAAATTTTCGGCTTGTCCAATCATAAATTAATGGAGAAATTATGAAATTTGCTCAATACTCGCCCCTGACCGTCAAACTGAATGACTCCTCGTAAAATCCCAGAATTTTTACATTCTTAGAAGGTCCCTGAAGGCACAAAAGAGCCTCACAAATCGTATTATCGGAATTATCTGTTACTAATTTAAATTTTTAAGAATATTGAAATATTAATTTCATTCGGATTGTGATGCTGCAATCCGATGTCATCGAAATATTATCTATTGAATTGTTGTAGCACTATCTTTATAGATTCTTGGAAAAGAACAGTGCCTAATTCTCACTATATTGAAATTTGACTTTAATCGAGACAGAGCATGCAAGAAAAATTTGTTAATGATTTAATCATTTCAGTAGTCTAGAAAGTCATTTCAATTGATAAGGGAAGAAAATTGAAAGAATAATGTCTAAATTATTTTCTTCAACATAGATGAGAGGATATCTCCCGTCCCAACTTTTTTTTTATATGAATAAATATGACGTTATTCAATGCGGTAATTACAGAACATTATTGATGAATTCTGTTTAGATCAGCCGAAGTTAAGGAAATCAAGATATCTGAAATTATCGTTTGAAAATACATAAAGTAAAAGAAAAAAGTTTTCAGTTGTTTACTTAACATTGACGATTTTGTGACTAGTGAGCATAATGGCAGAACCTTTAGATATTTCCTAGAACATGCCCACTTGTACATCACACTGGGTCGACACTCTTGCTACCTGACAAGGGATCGCCATAAAATC